TATACAGGGTGTATCAAAATAAACGCAATTCATCTTTTGTGCTTAATAACTTTCGAAATACTATTTCTAGTTAAACGCTTTTAGGCTTACTTCAAAGCCTGTTCTTTTCTCTTTCAAACAAACTATTATCCTTGTCTCCAATACTAGTAATAATTGCACAGGAAAAGATTTAGTAAAACCTATCATTTTTAGTTGCTGTTTAATTATGCAAGTTTACTATGTTATTGTTTAGTCGATTTAAATGTTAGAATTTTCTTCTTTAATTTTTTAATGTTGTCGTCACTACATCTGGAAAACCACGTAAGAACAAATTAAAGTATTTTAAAAGAGACCAGGTTGTTTGAAAATCCTAAACGAATGCTAAAAATCATCAAAACATTCTGGTGTCTGAGCCAGAGTGTCATCGAATTGCGATGTAATGTAAACAGAAATTATAGCAAGTTGATGTCAGTCAGCTTAGATGGTCAAGCCAAAATTATATCGCATTTGAAGTTTCAAACTGAGTTAAAAATAGTGGAAGAAAAGCCGTAATTATACTTATTGTTACAATCCATTTAATAAAATGCAACATTTGTTTGTTTTAATGAAAAAATCAGTTATTTTCATGAGAACGATTTGTTATTCCATCTCAATTTTTTTAATCTCAAATCGCAATAACGTAAAGTATTATTACCCGCGAACCAATGAGTCAAATTTAAGAAACAACCCACTGTTAGAAAGCTGAATGGCTACGCTTTAAAAAGAATGTAAACTTTAACGTTTTCGTCTATTATTTGTTTAGCAATTTACATTTCAGTCGAGGATTGCGCTTTTTTTTATACACCCTGTATACATCAACAACTGGATACTAATAGCTGTTTTGCAAAATTGAGAGCAAATTCATATCTGCTCAGTTTTTTTGATACACCCTGTAGAGTGTACAAAAAAACTGAACAGATTTGACATTGCTCTCAATTTCGTAAATCAGCTATTAGTATCCAGTTTTTGATGTACAAAGCTTCTTTGGGTACTTAGTATAATGTATGTAGAATAATGAAAAAATTTCTCGAACTCAAATTTTGTGAACTAGGGGGGAGTGTCTTTTCCAACAAACTAAAAATGGCTTGCGCACGGAGTTTAAAAGCTTTAATCATATTTTGAGTTAATTGATAGATGGCAAGTTCGTTGGGTTTTTAATTACTGTACAAAATTTCAGACAATTTGCTTTAGTTTAAGTCTTTTAACTATTCACGCAAACTTAAATTTTTTCCTAAAAATCAGCTATTCGCATGCTTAATTAATGCCTTTGCCTAATTTGCATATGTCAGCAATATGCAAATTAGATAAAGGCATTAATTAAGCATGCGAAAGACTGATTTTTTAGGGGAAAAAACTAAAGCAAATGGTTTAAACTAAAGCAAATTGTCTGACATTTTGTACAGTAATTAAGAATCCAACAAATGTTCCATCTATTAACTCAAAATATCATTAAAGGTTTCAAATTTCGTGCGCAAGCCATTTTTAGTTTGTTGGAAAAGACATCGCCCCCCCCC